AAGGCTTCTCCCTGGCTCCCTGGCAGGCAAGGAGTTTGTCCAATTTCCTGAAGGATTCTGTAGAAGAATTAAGAAACTCTGATCCTGTAGAGTGGTTCTATAGAGGATGCCTGGCCCCGTAGCGAGATTCAATCCGGAAATTTCTATAAAATTCCACAAAATGGGATGGATGCACCTCCCGCAGTAAGGTGGTTCCCAGCCTGCCGGCAGCTGTCGTCCCCACTAGCAGGCAGACTTGCGTTCTCCCCCCGCTCCTGTGGGTGTAGGCAATGCCCCGTTGGCAGACGCCGACAAGCCCAGGGGGTGGCAGAGATAATCACTGGCACTGGCCTGGAATAGCGCACGTGCTGCCAACTACACACCACTCCGATCCGCAGCTCCTTCTCAGAGGCGGGTGAAGTGCAGCGAAGGGGTTATCTCTGTAGGCAGCAGGGTACGGGGCTGGGAAGATAACCACAGTAAAGGTATGAAGCCACGATGTGGAATGTAGAGCTGCCATGTCTCTTCCAAGACAATGGAGGCACTTATTGCATTCAGCAGCACTGAGGCTTAAACAGGGCCCCTGGGCCCCTGGGGAATGATACAGCACCTACAGCTTAGGAGACAGAGCTTAGCCAGGTACCCAAAGCATGCACTGAGCAGGAACTGGGTATTTCTGACAACCATAATTGTCAGCAGCCAAAAGCGTGGCATGATAACGGTTGGTACTGCACTCTGGCAGATACCTACAGACTGCAGCTCAGACTCTTGATAAGAATTATTATTAAAAGAAGACATTGGACAGCAGCAAGTTCAAGTCTACAATTGTGGAGACTCCTCTGAAATGTCAGGTTTCAGATGACCAAGTTTTAAGATGCGATGAACAAGCTGGCCCAAAATGGTCTCTGTGACAGAGCCCCGCAGTGTGTTTCTGCCTCAGCGTGGCTTCTACATCCTGAATCTGTCATCAAATGAAGGAGAAGAATCAAGCCCCACTTTGAACTAATCGACTACAAACACACAGATGGGCTCATTATTATAGCCGGGTGTCTGTTACTGGAGAAGGAGTCTGGTACCAGTGACACATTTCCTGTCCTTTGAAGAACAAGTCAATAGAGACATGGCTTTGTGGAACGCAGTTGGGAGGAGTGACTGTGCTGCGTGCAACAGAGCTTCTTTTTACCAGGACTGAGGCTCGTGAATGTCCAGCTTCCCTCTCTCCTTGTGTTGATAAGCTCTGCGAAGTGTAATTTCAAAAGGATTTAACATCACAAAGACTGCGCTGTGAAACAAGTAAATGTTTCAAAATTGGTAAATCTGACACAATACCAATGTATTACTCCAACACACGCACATAACCCCCCCTCACACACACACACAAATGACTCCTCAGATGCAGAATCATCTGCCACACTCGCAGAGAGTGTGTGGCTCAGGCGTTGCCCCCAGACTGACTCCAGTCTTTTGTTTTCCGATGTCAAGCACTGTTTACTTAAAAAAATGTGATGCACAAAAATCCAATGACCAGAACGTTATTTTTCCTGCAAAATTACAGCACACGTAAAGCCCCAAGAAGGAAAACAAAGAAATCGGCTATTGTTTATGAGTGGCCTGCTTTCCCCTCACTCTTCCTCATGCTCTGTGGACCTGTCCTGTCACCTCTGCCCCCAGCCTCTCCCTCTCTGCCCTCTTCTCCTCCGTGTCACTCTGCTATGCTCCTTCCTCTTGTCACGATCGCTACTCCTTCTCTTAAGGGCGCTCCAACTCATCCCCGTTCAGCCTCAATCCCCACACCTGTTCCTTATTCTAACTCCCTTTCAGTCCACCTTAATAGCAGACGCTCACATCATTCGCGGCTCTACATTGAATCCTGTTTCATGTGAGCCCGGGTCCTGCTGCGTCTGGCTCCGTCATGTTCTTAACTTTCTGTTCCTGTTCCCCCCGCTGGTCCCGACCCAGTTCCCGTTCTTATTCTACTGGATGGATCGCCTGGCCCTGGACTTAT